TATTAAATGTCGATGATTACTTTAAATCAGTTTATTGATATCGATATTTTCTGGTTCTACTTTGTAATATAACGTCATCATTTATTACTTTTTAGTATATCACAACTCAATTTTCATCTATAAAGATTAAATGGTTTTGAAAATAGCACTTTAGAAGGTATATTTTCACGAGCAAATGTGGTTACTAAAGAACATTCGAGATCAAATAAATCGATCAGGGCGCGCAGCGGGGTCTATAATTTTGCGGTGGACGTCCTGTGGATTTTAATGAATCTTTATATAACATCTATAATAAACAGAAACCAGGAAGAATTAACCTCACTATAAAAAAAAATAATAGACAAAAACATTTTAAAATTGGTAGAGCCTGCTTTGACATCTTCGCGCGAATGGATCGGATAGCCCTATCAATACCACATAGAAGACAGGCGTCAAGTGGGATCAATTCCGCGCATCCGATAAGTGTGGTGCTGAGGGCTTAACGTTGGTCCCTTTTTCTTAAAGAAAAGGAAGGGAACGTAGAATTGACGGTGCAGGAAACGCATGGGAAGGGAAAATACCCTTTTTATCTGTGTCTCCTCCTCTGTCGATTAAGGGTAGGCAACGCATCTGTAATTGCGGATGTCTATGGGCAGCAGTCGCTTCGCCATTTTAGCGGATTCAGATGGCCGCTTGATCGTTTGACATCTTGTAATATAACAAAAAAAAACGCAAAATCGATAGAGACAACTACTCGTATAATAAAGTACATCGTAACTTTTAAATAATCATCATTTTATAGCATTTTAACCTATAAAAAAAAACAAAAGCGTTTCGTGATTGGAATTCACAGCAATTTCGCAGCAGTACGTGCGGTAGGAGATTTACCTACGACTTCCATAGTCGGTTTATTCAAACCGTGCACGCGTGTAGCGGAATCCGATCTAACTGCGAATAGGATTTAAACGGAACAAAACAAAAGGTATTTGAAATATTTTTAAGCCAGTACTATCAAACAGTTACAATAAGTAGATTTTATTTAGCAATTCCTTACTTATTGAGTCTCCCATTTAAGATACAAACATCAACAGTTAGAACTAACTTTGAATTCTCAATGTCTGATTGCTTGATCATGGAACATGTCATGGAAACAAAAATATAGTTAGTTACTGCTTAAACACTATATTATTACCGACTGGTAACATTATAGAAGATAAATAAGTATACAGGACGTATTTAAAAAACACAATCAACCGACGGACACGCCATTTCAGCAAATCTACTACACTTGTTGGTTTCAGAACCATAGCCATTTCCTATCAAAATCGATCTTGAGACTTTGTGTGCATGTTAGATGATTTGGTAGACACAATAGGTATAATTTTGACCGTATAAAACATCCTAAAGAAATCTGTTTCTAACAGACTGTTAGCCTATCAGTTATTTTGGCAACGTTAATATTAATTTCGTCTGCTCTTTTCGTTGCATAATTTTGTTCCAGTAACTGTAATCAAAACCTTAAACTTCACAGAAATTAAAGCACGCAAGCAATCATCAAAATAGGTCAGAGCTAGCGTTGCCGCGAGCTGTGACGCTGCTTTATACGATACCCGCAATGTGCCATCGCAGAGCTCAAAGCTTGCCAACGTCACTGGCGCAATCTCCCAGATCTCTACCATACGGCTCTACTTGATGAATCGAAGCCACCTCCATTTAGTCTCGTTGCCAAATTCGAATTAAATCGAAGATTTGAATATTGCTAAGATGATTTAGAAGTAAGAACTTCTACAAGGATTACTTAAAATTATTAGTAATTTACCAATTTACGTATTTAGAATTATGGGGTTGGAACCCATAATAGCAAGATCAGCAATCCTTGAGTCTATTGTCACAGCATCTTAGGAGTTCAAAGACTTATGGTTGGTTTCCCAGCTACGTTTAACCATTCATTAGAGTTTTTAGTTCGATAACTTCATAAACTACGTAACTTCAGTTTTACTCTGTTGAAACATACTCAACCTGACACTAATTAATCATTAGGTAACTATAAAATAAATGGTAACGTCAACAACCATAAGTAATGTTTATTGAATACACCAACGCTTGGAAGATAGATTGTATGCCGTTTCATAAGTGCGTAGACATCCTACTTGTGAAGTCCCAAATGACATACAAGGACTTTGATAAAAAGTGTGTATATGACCTTATTTTGTATCAAGATCTTGTGTACAAGTGGCCTTGAGAATGAGAGATTGTGTTATTATAAGTATAACGTAACAAAGCTGTGCTCAAAACTAGTTCCGCTGAGCTCTACTGGGACTGATCCATCATATCTGACAGCCATATTAGAAGCAATAAGACCCTCCATTTCACTCTTTTAATACACGTTTCTTTTTGATAAAGCGTATCCGATATTTTTATTCTCATACAATGCGTTCTTAACATTTTTCTATATTGAAAATGGTGCTTTTCAAAACAAAATATTGTTTTTTCAGAAACATTCAAACAAACTTTTTACTCGATACACTTATACTATAGATATACTTTGATCTCGATGAAATTTGGCATAGACGTAGAGGATAGTCTGGAAGAACACATAGGCTACTCGCTTTTGTGTTTTTTAATTCCACGCGGACGGAGTCACGGGCGAGAGAGTAAGAAATTAAATGAACCTATTGTAGATAAATCGTATTCCACGCGGTTAAACTGACGTGAAAATATAAAATGGCAATGTGATCAATTTAGGGCCAATTTTCCAGCTAACCTATTTTACGCGCTGCGCTGAGGTGTAGTTCACATTATTAAGCAAGCTCATTTTCCACATCAATACACATCCTCTGATACAATCTGCTATAAAGATACTGTCGCCTTCGATAGTTCTCTGACAATTCTATATAAAGTCTATGAATAGACGTTCATACACTTCGAATAGAATAACAAACCTAACCTCAAAAAGTGTAAAACCTTGATTTTTATTTGAGTTTGATTTTCAATTCAAATAGTTAATCATGTCAATCTTGGACTAAAGATTACATACATATATTAATAGTATGTTGTGGGCGTCTAAAGCATGAAGTTAATCCATACTAATATTATAAAGAGGAAAGATTTTTATTTTTTTGTATGTATTGAAATAACTCAAAAACTATAGGTCCGATTTAAAAAAAATCTTTCACCGTTTGGAAAGGTAATTTATCTGTGATGTTACTCACACTAGGTTAGGCTATACTTTTTATTGTTTTTTTTTAATTCGCAGCTAGTACATTATAGAGAACATCCAAACCTTTTAAAACTTTATCTTATAAATGTCAAGTGAAATGAATTCCCAAATTAAATAAATTATTGAAACATTTATAGAAATCTTCAAATCTATTTTAAGAGATAATAAAGATTCATCTTTAACAATTTCTTAACACTTAATTCCGTTATAATTTCAGTTCATATCTTAATTGGTAAATTAGACAAGACTCTTGACATTTGATGGACGTCTATTATAAATTCATTAGAAATTGTATCCGTTCAGGAATAAATCTCAAATGAATACTGAAAGAAGTGGCAATTTAGTTTGTAAGAAAAGGTCACCATTATTGGTGATTGAATGGAAGTTTTAACAAAGTGAAATTGACTTTGATTAATTGCTAATTAAACTCATTTATGATTTAGAAAGGTTATTAAAAAACTTTCCGAAACGTAGTTATTAAATCCATTACTTAGCTTTAACTTGCCTAGCTTTAATGCGTCTTAAGCTTAAGGGACAGATCTACAAGTCCATCATAAGAGCTGTCGTATTGTATGGATCTGAATGTTGGGCCACCAAAGTTGCGGATGAAAGGAGATTGCCTGTGGCTGAGATGCGTATGTTAAGATGGATGTGTGGTGTGACAAGACTGGATAAAGTTAAGTATGTGTACATTAGAGGAAGTTTGAAAGTAGCGCCAGTGTTGGAGAAATTGAGAAGCAAAAGGTTAGCGTGGTATGGACATGTTATGCGACGAGATGATGGGGACATAAACCAGAAAGTGTTAAGATTGAACGTGGATGGCAACAAAGGAAGAGGAAGACCGAAGAAAGTATGAATGGATTGTGTGAAAGAGGATATGCTTAAGAAAGGAGTGGATTCAGATATGACGCCTGATTGAGATGTATGGAACATGGATAGAGATGTATATGACCCTCCGTAAGGGATAAGGCAAGTGGATGATGATGATGATGACTTAAGCTTTAACTTAGAAGTAATGTAATTTTCATTTTAATACTCTGATTTAAGAATAATGACATTAAAGCTACAAACTATTTATAAAAATAAAAATTTAATTTGTAATGTTTGGAAAACGCTAACACTAAATATGATTAAAATAAAATACGAATTGATGTATTCTCGTATTTTAAGAATTCGGTTAAAAAATACACAAGTATCAAATCACAGAATCGAAGTTTATAATTCTCGCGCTACACACGCTCAGTTTTATCTGAACAGTAAAGTTTTACCTTTGAGTAAACTATCGCAAAACTAACTAAATATTTTGTTGCACAACTAATGATCGAGTAGTTTGCGCACCATATAATTTAATAGGAATTAAAACGAGACTAAATAGTTGTGCGATAGTTTAGTTTCAGGTGTGCGCACGCTCATAATCTCACAAAACTGGGAACTGTTCAGTTTTCAGTATTACCTGCACAGATTAGATTTATCTGATCAGTTCAGATAGAAAAGTGTATAGCGCGCTTCATTCTTTATGTTGGCAACCCTGATTTTTTTACATGAAAGCAATCGGGCAACTAGATCACAGGATGTTCTCTGACAAACAACATCCTCGATTGTCAAGAACATAATTTATTGATAAGCCTGAAGCGTACTCTTCGTATTAAAAAGAAATACTTTAAGGTGTTTACGGTTTCAGTTGTTTTGTAACGCTTTTTGTCTGTTCAGCTCGTTTACTGTGACTAAAATATTAACTGCTTGTATTAAATTATAATTTTTATATTAAATTAAAATTAAAAACTTATTTTATAACTCATACCTTGGATTGTTAAACAACTCGAGTACGTAACATACCTGTAAAAACAAAAAACAACATGTTTCATAATTATACAAATAAAACGTACTAATAACTAACTAGTTAAACAATTTACATTTTCTCTGAATAGACTGTAGTTGGCAATATCTTAGTCATATTTAGAACGTGCGCGCTACCGAAAATATCGCACAACTTTTTAGTCTCGCTTTAATTCCTATGAGCTATGGAGGTGCGCATACTACTCGATTTTTAGTTCTGAATCTAAACAGTTGAATGGACTACGAAACAATAGACAATCGAACAACAATTGTGCGATTTATAGACAAAGTTACATGCTCGATCTAAAAGTAGAAAATATGTCTGTTTCATTTTGTGTAAATTTAACCATTTCATAGATTACATTTAAAATGTTGGAACCTTAAGTAATTAAAAATGCTTAAGGAATGCATTAAATGTAGTTTTCTGGGTCACCATCGAGTTGGTGGCTTAAAAGTTCCTTTGACAGCGACTGAGAAGTTGTTTCAAACTAACACAAACTGTTTCTGTGATATTTATGGTAAGCAACGCTCGCAGCTATTCAAAGCAGTCAACTGGAATAGTATTTTATTAAAATTTGTATTGTCGCAGTAAAATTTGTCTTGGAATTCCAACTTTTTCTAGTTAAAACTTGCAACATGCGTAATAACTACATATATCTGTGTACAATTAGTATTTTTGCCTCTCTTTCTCTCGCTTTAAAAAAAACTGAAATCACAACATTTTAGCATAACGCATACTTAAATTAGACTTGATACTAATATTATAAATGCGAAAATGTGCATTGGTAAATGTTTGTTACGCCTCTCCAAAATAGCATAACGCATCTCGATGAAATTTAGTACACATGTAGATCATAGTCTAGAACACTAGCTAGTAACATAGTGTTTTATTTTATTTTACTTAATTCTACTTTATATTGTTTTATTTATTTGCTAAGATTTTTTTATTATTTCGCGCGGACGATATCGAGGAAAAAGTTAGTGCAATTATACATGACACTTAGGTATTTGTAAAACCATAAAGTTTTAATCCTAGGTTCTATTTTCACACCTCACTGTGTGTACTATTTTCTACATTTTTTTTTGGAACACAAACAGAGTTACTGACATTTATTATTTATTGCGGAAGCGTAAATTTGTGTGGGATTGTTATTGATTACAAATTTAAATATTCACGAATACACCCAACTCATCATAACGCATGTCAAAACATACACAGGGTTGTGGGGAATATATTTCCATGATCACGTATCAGTCTAATACGAGCATTGTTATTCAACGTTTTTTTTAATGACTCGCAAATTGCTTAGACAATGTAAGGATATGTGGTGTTTTTATAAACAAAATTGTTTGTTTTTAAACCCTCTTTCTAGAAGAAACTGTTCTTTAACTATAATTAATTTGATGTTATGTCAAATCTAACTTCTATTATAAATGCGAATGTTTAGATGGATTGTTGTTTGTTACTCTATCTCCAGAAAGGCTTTAATATGACATAGATAGATAACATCTGGAAGAACACATAGGCTACTAATTAAGTTGTTTTTAATTCCGCGCAAACGGAGTCGTAAACGGGCGAAAGCTAGTGAATAAATAAAAATGAAGGTGATCAAGAAACATAATTTTTAGTTTAACATTTTTTTACTTATTTTATTATTTTTTTAATCAAGGCGACAAAGAAGCCTTTTATAACAAAGCTATTTTATAACAAGAAAGCATTTTCCTTTATCCGTATTAATTCATTAATTTATACTGCAATATATAAAGAAGACAGATAAACCGATAGTAGCGCCATTCTCACCGGCCTTCATAACTTTCCATCATCATCTTCCTTCTGATCCTACTCCCGTAGCGGCGCAACGGTTTTTTGTTCTCCACATAACTCTATCATACGTCATCTCAGTCATCACTCTCTTCTTGATTGTCACCTTTCACGCAATCCATCCATCTTTTTTTAGGTGTCCACATAACTAACGTTCTCCTTGTTACATGCGATTCATCCCTCCTCATAACATGCCCATACTAAACCTTCATATCCTTATTTGACTCTGTTTATTCTAATTATAAATAATTTTAGCGTACATTCCATGTTTGAAGACTTAACATTTAATCTTTAAATATATTCAGGCACGCAGGAGCGTTAGAGCTTAACGGTTGTTTGTTTGTGTTCCCATCTCTATTTAACGCAATGAGAAACTTTAATTAAATGGGTGAAAATGAGAACTCATTCAAACGATTTAAAATTCAAATGGACTACAAAATGATTTAGAGATTTAATTTCCTTTGATATTTTCATAAAGATCAAAGGGATAATAATTAATTAGATTTCTATAGGAAATATTATCATATCAATATTAACTAAGTCATAATTTATCTTTTGTCTGCTTTTAAAACTGTTATGTGAGTTTTTTTTAATATTATAAGGTGGCAAACGAGCAAGCAGACACCTGAATCCGCCAAAACGGCAAAGCGACCACTGCCCATAGACATTCGTGATAGCGGATGCGTTGCCTACCATTAACCGACGGAGGATGAAACGCACATAAAGAGAATATTTCCTCTCCCTATGCGTCTCCACTACCGTAAAATCCACGTTCCCTTTCCATTCTATTCTTTTGAGAAAAAGGGTGTGAAGGAAAAGGGACAAAAGTTGCGCCTCCGCGACCACACTCATCAGACGAAACGCGGAATTGCTCCCACTTCACGCCTGCCTTCTGTGTGGTCGTGATATTGCACCGGGCGAGCCGAACTATTCGTGCGAAGATGTTAAAGCAGGCTCTACTACTGTTAAGAGGTAGAAAATAATTTAATAACCTCCCATGGGGTTATATTGTCATTGCATAAGAAAGTTTTTTTAAAAAAAAGCTTAATGTGGTAACAAAAGTGTTTAGTTTAAAATTCAATTGTAATCGGCATCTAGGGAGTAGTGTTAGATTAAGAAGCTAAATTATGTAACATAGGCTACATTTTTATTATTATTTTCACGCAGACGAGGTCGGGAGCGACAGCTAGAATAACAAAATACTTATACCTAAAGCAGTGCATATTTATGGAGAAACATATGTGTGTATATAATCGTTGACGTCCATATCAATCAGACGAAGACATAAAACACGTATTTAACTAAACAGTAGATAAATATATTTTTTTCGTAATATGGTACGTCTGAAATACGATAAAGCATTTAAACTGGCCAATTCATTTCGCAAACCTCACTACCGCCTGTTCTTCAACGTGAGAAACGGGATACGAAACAACCGACAAATTGATAACTGTCAGCCATTTGGACGGAACACTCGATCACAAAGGCCTTTTTTAAATATTTAGCTCTATATAGCTTTGGCTCGCAACTTCTATCACGTGGAAATAAAGCAAAGCAATAGGTTCTTCCAAATTTTGTCCAAATTCTTACAGCGGATGTAGTACTATTTGGATATAATCTATACTAATATTATAAACAGGAAAGATTTGTATTTTTTATGTATAGAAATAACAAAAAAATTACGAAGCCGATTTCCAAAATGCTTTTACCATTTAAAAGTTACGTTATTGGTGAGTAATATAGGGTATTTTTTTTATTTTACGCAGACGAAGTCGCGAGCAACATAGTATTAGTAATAATATTAGTATTATTAGTAATAATTATGAAGACGTGTGTTAGTGAAAGTGTGAAATTTTACAATATGAAATGAGTATAGGACTGGCGTTTTTATTCTTATCTATATTTTAAAGAGGAAAAATACTGTGACTCCGAAATGGAAGGCTCGTTGAACCGATTATAACTTTGAAAGGGTTCTTAATCCCCTTAGGGTTGGCATGCGTAAAGATGCGAACAGATTATACTCAAACTCTTTCTCCGACATACATTAGATACAAAAATATAAGCTACCACCAGCCCTGGTATTTGGTAACAGAAAAACAAACGACAACCAACTTTTATTTACTGATAAATTTATCGTTAAAGGATTTTTGGTCAATTCCTGCAATTTTCGAGTAACAAATGAGGAGGGTAATGGACTAATGGTGTTCTTTTCACTAATACATACATTAGTATGCAATCCTTTGATAGACTTTGATAGAGTGGCCCAATTTTAGTCCCTTTCCCATCCCACCTTTTTCTATTACGGAAAGGATTGGATGGGAAAATGGATTTGACGATGGAGGAGACGCATAGAAAGGGAAAGAGTCCTCTTTATGTGCGTCTTCTCCTCCGCGGGATAAGTGTAGGCAACGCATCTGCAATTGCGGTTGTCTATGCCGCTTGCTCGTTTGCCACCTTATATTATATAAAAAAAATATATTACACTTATACAAAATGTTTAACATGTGATAAAATCTACATTACAATTTTCTCAGGACATTTATTTAAACATTTTCGTATATTTTAAAAACGTACGGTAAATAGAACAACGGTTAAGCCGGAACGTGTTTGTTTGCGGCGGGGGCTTAAATTTATGAGTTGATGATTTACTTATGTGACGCATTTTTGTATGCTCCGAGGAAGATTCCACTTCGCTGAAAGCGTGAGCAAATATAACGGAAAAAAAGTTAAATAAACAAGAAAAAAGGCCCTTTTCGCTTCTATTTATATTATTCTGTACAAAGGATTATTATTTTTGATTTTTGTATTATAAATTACTAGCTTTCGTGACTCCGTTCGCGTGGAATTAAAAAAAAGTAAAAATAGCCTCCGTTACTTAGCGATAACATAGCTTTTTAATAGCGAAAGATTTATTAAACTTGGCCCCGTTATTTTTGAGCTAATTCAATACATACAAAAATACAAATCTTTCCTCTTTATTTGTATAGACTAGCTTACGTAACTCCGTCCGCGTGGAATTAAAAAAAATAATAAAAAGCCTATGTGTTCTTCCAGTGTATCCTCTACATCTTTGCTAAGTTCCATGAAGATTCCTAAATAGATAACTCTAGCAAACATTCATCTAAGCTTTCGCATTTATAGTATTAATAAGATTTGACTTCTTCTTGCAGCAATGAAC